TCAAATAATATTCGGAAATATTTAATTATTTCTTGCTCGGCCCGGTACCAATTGGTCCACGGACTGGTACCGGTCGGTGGACCGGGGGTTGGGGGCCACTGCTCTATACAATGTGCCATGCAAAGCCCTATTCTGGTAGCCTCTGCTGGAGTTTGGTAAATTATTTACATTTTTATATGATTGCCTGCTGTGTTGCAATGTGGCGGGGGAATTGTGTGTCAGTTAAGGTCTTTGGGAAGCGCTTATGGTCACATGTCCACTTGGATCAGATATATAAGGAGCGTTTATTCCATTCATGGCAGACGAGATCCAGACGCAGATGAAAGCCAGAGGCCAGGATCAGAGGCGGAGCTGGAGCCGGAGCCAGAACCAGCCGGTGTGGGGCACGTCAGTTGCTTGACAAGGTGTGGGAGCCAGCTCCTGGTTTGGATGGACCACATGTGGAGGCGTCGCTTGATCAGACCTGGGAGCAGAGGCTGAGACCTGTGGGGGCCAACCAGTCCATGACTGAGGGAGATCTGCACCAGATGGAGGTCCAGGCCGAAGGTGCACACCCCAGTGTAACAGTTGTAACAGGTGTAACTGCTGCACACTACCCCTAAACAATCACTTTAATAATAAATGCCTCTGGGCTTAAAATGTTTCTTGTTGTGTGTCATCCCATTTTCTTGTTGCAGTCATCAGAGGGGCCAACAGGGGCTCCCAATTTATGGCTCCAAGTTCATCTTCTTGGAAAAATCAGTTTTGTCACATAATTGCAACTAGTCGACAAAAATGTCACAGAAGAGTAAAGAATCGACTAGTCGATTGTTGATGCAATCCCTAAGTCATACTGAGACAGGATCACAGTTTTCATCTGCTGGATCTAGGGTCTGCAAATTGCAACTCCGGAGCCAAAAGTGGCTCTTTGGCTCGCTTAACATACTAAATGCTCCTCCATTGCTCTTTTTTTTTTTCTTTTTTTTTTGTTGAGTGTTCCCATGGTCCTACCCTGGATTCCAAGGTAAATTTGCATTTTATCATCATCTTTGTCTTATTTTCACTTAATTTCAATTTGTTTTTTTAGACAGCTAGAAATAAATGATCTCAGAGTCCTGCAGAAATATACACACATTTATATTTGGCATACATGGTTTAGGGGACATGTTTAAAAACTGTTTTGGAGTATTTAAACTCAACCAACAAAGAGAGAGTAATAGAAGGATAAATATACTCACCTCCTTCAACTTCTCTGTCAGCACTTTAATCTCTTCTTCATATTTGTCCTCTTTTTGTGAGTACTGAAATTAAAAACAAAAAGTATAAACAAAAAAGTTCCATGGAGTGACATTTCCAACCTAAACTTTAACAGCAACAGAGAAACAGAAAGAAAGCTTTCAATGTGGCAAAGCCTTGATCTGATTTTGTTTTTTGTCTCTAATGACTTGAGTATCTAGAAAAATGCAAGAAAATAACAAGATGTTGAAACATTAAGCTGGAAAATGTTACAATCATACTATTTAAGTCTTCATTGTACTGCCTAACTTTATATGTATATTAACAGAAATGTGACCAGGAATTATTTCTCGCTCGTGTTTTGGTTCCTGCCAGCATTTCAACAAATTTCTATCACCAACCTAACATAGACCAACCTCACCATCTTTCTCTGGAGATGTTGTCGTTACCATCTTAACTCAACTCAACCAGCAATGCAGATGTTGAATGGACATGTTGTTCTTTGCTATTTTGCATGTTTTTCATTGATCAATCATGTTAACGGTAAAGTCCTCCTCATCTCTCACTGTACCTTCTCAGCCTGGGCTTCCAGGGACTTCAAGTTGTTGGTGACATTTTTTAATTCTTCCTCAAGATCAGCTGATTTACTGAACAACACAGGAAAGAAGAAAAGCAGCAGAAGAAAAGGCAGTAATTTGAAAGGCAGAAATGGGTGAGAAGTTCAAACCAGATGCAATTTGATGGACCAAAAACATTTTTATATGTCAAAATTTTTATGTGTCAAAATAAAATAAAATAAAATATTAGATACATTTGACTATTAAATTAAGAAGAAGTAAATTATATTGTCTTTGGAAACAATGGCTATAATGTTTAAGGTCCAGCAATATGCAAAGGAACCATAGATTCAGTAAAATACCAGGGAGTCTAGAGAAAAAAGTTACATAAATATTCAAAATAAATCTAATAAACATTTTTGGTGAGCATTGGGCAAAACATAGCATACAAAAACAGATCTCTACTACATGTTTCAAAAAATTAATGCTCTAAACAAAAATAAGTTTTAATGAGAAACACCACTTAATAAAATTCCTCATTGACATTGACTTATTGCAATATCTCTCAACACAAGTTATGTGTTATTTAAATTATAACTTGTTAAGCTGCCTTATTTTAAAACCTTTTCTGGTTTTTCCATATCCTGGATCATGGCTGAGAACCAACATGTAGGTAGAAATAAATATCTCATCTTGAAATTAACATTTATAGAAAAGATTCTAGACTTTTCCTAGATTGGGAGTCCCAGCCCAACCCCTCCCCCTCCCCTCATACTCCTAGGACTTCCATCCATGCCAGGAGACCTAAAGAGCCTCAGCTAAAAAATAAAATGTACTCCTCAATATCCTGCAGTAGATATGCCAATGAACATAAACGATTTAGGATGTATTTGTTGTGAATTGGTTCTATGTAAATAAACTGAGTTAAACTGATCTGAAAATTTCTTTGTCAGACATCTGAAGAAAATATGTCCATATTTGTACTTAAATGTTTTAATAAAACCATCTTAAACTAAATGTGGCCATAAGAAGACAAATATATATATATAGATTAATGAGCTGTACCTGCATGGCATCTCAAATGGTAACCATTTGTTATTAAAACTAAATCTTCATTTTGTAAAAAAAAATATTGTTTGACCAGAATTTTTCATACAGAATTAAAAAAATATATTAATACCAGACAAACTTATAAAGTATTAAGTAAAGCATGGAGAGGAAAAGAAAACATGCAAATTAAACAGAATTGACCAGCAGAGATGAGAAGGCTAGTGCAGGCTGCATCAAATACCTCTTCCTCACCGCACATCATCAACTTCAAATTCTGGTCCATAAGCCTGAGCTCCTGTTCAAGCTCCCTGACCCGCCTAGGGGTTTAGTCCAGGATGGGGTGAGGCGTCAGACAGGAAACAAGAATGTATTCATGCTTTCCATGCAGTGACACATTTCACAAAAACACAACAAAACATGTGTGACTGGTGCATTTTTACATGCTGCTAAAGTGTAGGAATACAAAAAATGCTACAAATAAAAACAAATGTACATTCAGAAATCAAATCACCTAAAGGAGCCTGCCATTTGTAGAAAAAGTTGCTACTGTTAAGTTTTTATTTATTTATTTATTATCTGTGTGGCCACCATAATCAGATCCAATTGGTTTGCAGGTCATGCTGTAGGTGATCATGATACTTACGCCTCAGCCACCTCAGCACGCTCCTCTGAGCGCTCCAGATCTCCTTCCAGAATCACCAGTTTACGTGCAACCTGCAAATATATTCAGGTCCTGACGTCATTCCACACAAAACCTGCTCATGTTGTTGAGTGCGATACCTCAACTCTGACTTTTAGAACCAGTTGTTGCTGTGACCTCATCCTGATCAAAGTAAATAAGAAATTATATTCTATTTACTGAATTTTAAAAACAGGGTATAAAAATATCCTCTTTTAATTCTAAGGTTTAAGAACTGTTTCTGGACTTTGACTGGACCATTGTGGAGTTTTGTTTCTCTTTGGTTAGTCATTCTGTTAGAGATTTGCTGCTGTAGTTTGAATCCTTATCCCATTCTAAATCAAGACAGATGGCGTCACATCTAACTCTTTATAAGACACTTTTGACACTTGCTGGATGACTTCATTGACTGCAAGCTGCAGCACAAATCTTGTCTGGTTCACATGCCAACTGATGCCAGAAGAACTAAGTTGGAGGTATTATGTTAAATTAGCAGCTCTTTAAATTGGCCGGTGGTTGAAGTTTGTCCTGTAATCAGTGGGTTGCCAGTTCATTTTTGTGTTTTGAATCATTCAGAGGTGGACTTGCTGCAGTGCTAGGGCTTGGTATTTTGAGGTATTAGTATTTCTAAGTGGTACTAAAATTGTAATTCCATCTTAAAATGAAATCCTTTGTTAAACTCTAAACAGAAAGAATGTGCAGAATTAGTCCCACCTCTTCATATTTACGGTCTGCCTCCTCAGCAATGTGTTTGGCCTCCTTCAGCTGCATCTCCTGGATTTCCATTTTCTCTTCATCTTTTGTTGCTCTGTTCTCTATCACCTTCATTCCTCTGAAGAGAAGGACAGACGTAAACGCTGGTCAGGTAGGACATGGTGCAGCATTCGTCAGCTTGGCATAAATCTCTCTCTACCAGAAAAAACCTAAACATTTCACATTCTGTGTTACAGGTCAGACAACCGGCTCTAGTCACACTTTTCTTACTTGGTGTTTTATTTCTGATTTAATTTGTGCATGAACCAGTGATGCAATGTACTTTAATTTTTAAACTATAGAACCTGACTAAATATTTTGTATTGCTTGGTCCCAGATAAATAAGTTTAAAAAGCAAAAGTAAAGAATAGTGATAAAAGCAGAACAACAGGAAGCTCTTCACCTCTCGCTTTCATCTGCAGCTTTCTCTGCCTCCTCCAGCTTCTGCAGAGCAGTAGCTAGCCTCTCCTGAGCTCGGTCCAACTCCTCTTCCACCAGTTGGATGCGTCTATTCAGAGACGCCACCTCTGCCTCTGCCTGCAGGAACAGAAACAGAAACACTCTGGGTGTAAGCCTCAGTAAAGAAGAACAGTGACCTTAAATAACAAATAGACCCTGATATCCAACAAAATCAATATCCTCCAAGAATCAGTTTCTAACCTCTTTCTCCTTATTTGCTGAGAAACATTCTGAGCAGCTCACCTTTGGGAGCTCAAATGTCTGAACAAATGAGAAGATGCCTCTTTACTTATGTTAAAGACCTTGGGCTCTTTTACAGGTATAGGTTAATATTTTCTGCAGCTGAACATTGACTTCGTTAAGTTAAACTGAGTTTCTAATAAATTGTCTTTTCAGAATGTGATTGTAAACAAAATATTATTGTCTCAAACAGGTAGCAAATTCAAAGGTAGGGGAAGGTTGAAAATCTTATCATTAACAATATGCATTTTGATCAATAGTGTGCCATCACTTCATAACGTAACGTG